CAATATTATGGAATTTCTGTATTATGGGTACCAGATCTTCTTTTTAGGTCTGACAGAATTTAGCTGTGAATGCATCTGATCTAGGGCTTGTTTTATTTGGAAGTTGTTTATTACTGTTTTTTTGTTGTTGTTTGTTTTGTTTGCAGTTTTTGGCCAGGGCAGGCTTTGAACCCACCATCTCCAGTATATGGGGCCAGCGCCCTACTCCTTGAGCCACAGATACCATCCTTTATTACTGTTTTGATCATTGTTATTGGTCTGCTTCTTCCTAGATGAGTCTTGGGGAATTGTATGTTTCCAGGACTAGTTCATTTCTTCTATGTTCTATAGTTTATACATGTAGATTTATGTAATATTCATGGACCATGTTTTATATTTCTGAGGTTATCAGTGGTAATGTCACCTTTTTCATTTCTGATTGAGCTTATTTGGGTCCTTTCTCTTTTCTTTGTTAATCTAGGAAGAGGTCTTCAAATTTTATCATTTCAGAGAACCAACTTTTTATTTTATTAATCCCATGTATTGTGAGGGTTTTTGTTTTGTTTTCTTATTCATTTACTGGTAGTTCTTCTCTGACCTTTGTTATTTCTGTTCTTCTGTTAGCTCTGGGTTTGATTTGTTCTTCCTTTCCTAGTTCCTTGAGGTATAACATTAGGTTGTTAATTTGTGATCTTTCTGTCTTTTTGGTATAGGCATAAAAGGCTATAAATTTCTTTGCCAAAAATGTGGAATCTTCTATAGCTCCATTATGTTCCCCTAGAGGTGTCAAAGTATTTTTTCATGTTTCCAGGGTCTTTTGTTGGTTTCTTCTCATCCAGTTGCTCTTCTTTTAGCTCTGGGTTAAAAAGATTGTAGGATACCTGTTCTCCTTTGTTGGGGACTTTTTTGAACCAAGTCCATAAGTGATGGACTTAAGTGATGGATGCTCAGAGCTGGGGGGTCCTGAGTGATGTGTTGTTGGACCTCAGGGAGATTCTCATAGCCCAGTGGTAGTGGTAGGGACTGAGTGATGGGTCTTTGGATATGAGCACAACTCTACAGTCTCAAGGGTAGAGTTGTAAACCCAGTGGGGGCCCTGTACCTACACGGAAAGAAGATTCAGGCATATCAAGAGCTTCAGAGTTGGGTCTGTGGGTTTCAGAGGCAGAGCTACCCATATGGAGTGCTATTACATCACCATTGGGACTGCTGATGCCCAGTCACATGCAGGGGTTTATCTCTGTCCCAGGGTCCATTTAGGATGCTGGTTGGCCAAGGTTCTGCCCTATATACGTAAGACCAACTGAGGTAGTCACCCCAGGCTTCCCAAGTGATGCCTATGACATTGGGGGCTCTTTCTCTGTTCAGCTCTCATACTGGGGCGGAAGTGTGCTTGGCTTGCAGTCATAGGACACAACAGTATTTGCTTGTCTGAAAAAAATTTCTCTGTAAATTGTGAAACTTAGTTTTTCAGAGTTCAAAATTCTAGTAGCATCAGTTCCTCCCCCTGGCCCAGTGAGGGTGAAACAAAAGCTACTGCTGGAAGGCTGGGTCCCAGGTGGACCTAGATCTATGTGCCAGAGTGATTAGGATGGCATTCATTGTAGAAAATTGGAATTGACAGGCACCAGATCTCTGTTGCACCTGCTCTCCAGTGAAATATCTCTGCACAGACTCTTAGCAGCTCCTGATAAGCCCAGAGGTCTGCAGTGATTCGTTGGCTACTGAGAGGGAGATACCACACAGATTGAGCTGGCTGTAACTTTTCTCTCCTAAAAAGCAGTGTCCCCTCAAGTTGCTTCTATCCTGCTGTTTTCACCTCTTCCCAGCAGTGAATTGCATTAGGACCCCCACCTTAATTTCCAAGATAGTAGAAGATGATTGTAAGAATCAACCATGCCCTGTTTGACTGAGTTGGTCAATGCTATAATGAGCTATAGTTGTTCTCTCTGTCAGTGGCTGATGTTTACAGGAAAGAGCCAGCTTCAGGATGTTCTTTTGTGCTTATGATGGCTGTAGTCCCTCAGGTGAAACACTTGAATGCCTGGAGATCTGGGAAGGGCCCTGTAGCTCCCAGGAGGTTGCTTGATCTCTAACACAGCATAGGGGGCTGGAGGAGTAAGTCTGGGCATAGGTAGGTTGGGTAAGCCTGGAAGGCTTTGCAAAACTTTAGCAGGGCTCAAAGGTTGTTTGCCCAGCCACAAGGGGGAGCCACATGAAGGGTTAAGGCAGGCTGTCCAAACCAGGATGAGGGCTCATGAGGAAGGGGTCATTATTCCCTAACTGTCTGTCAGGAGTGAGCTTGCCTCTTTTGCATTACCCCCGCCTTCCTAAGTCTAGTTTCAAATAGGTACCTGAATGTGCCCCAACTCAGTTGCTATGGCATCATGGGCTGGGATCCTACCTGCTGGGGAAGCCTCCCTAGTCTGACAATGCAGCTTTGAGCCTCAGCAGGACTCCAGAGTTTTTTTTTTTTTTTTTTCTGGCAAGTAGGTAAAGCCACTGGAAAGAAGTCAAGGGAGCCTCTTTAAACCAGGAAGGCTGCCTGTGAGGAAGGGGGCTCAATTACCCAACTGGCTGTCAGGAGTGAGCTCCAACACTTTTGTATTACCCTTGCCCTCTAGTGTCTGGTTTCAAATGAGAATGCATCACACTAGGTTGCTATGGTGCTGTGGGCTGGAATCTTCCCTGCCAGAGGACTCACCCTAGCCCCAGTAGTATGACTTTTCTATGGAGGGGATGTCAATCCCCCAGATCACCAAGTCTCAGACTCCCACCCCCAGTATTCTTCTGTCAGTTCTACCAACGTGGGTTCCCTCCACTCCCTGCTGTGTCCCTTAGAACTCACTCCAGTCCTGGAGGAATAGGATCCAGCTTGCATGTCTGACCCACTGGCATGTATTTCTGGGAAATTTTCTGGGAAATGCTAGTGGGCAGGGAGATTCCATGGGGATCAGGCATGCCAGGTCCTCAAAGGGAAAGGTATGGGCCCAACTCTCTGTGGAAACCTCAGAATGGAGGATACACTAGCTGGGGAAGGGTAGCCACTCCCAAATCCTTGGCTCAAATTGCTGTCCTGGTGGCAGTGGGCAGGGGAGGATAAGAGTCTGAATGGAAGTACACTGGCCATCTAGCCTCTCAGGTCACTATCCTTGGGGGGAAAATACTACACATATGTCCAAACTCTGGAATCATGCAAGTTCCCCCCACCCACAGTTCAATGGTTGCTGCATTGCTTGGGCTTATGAGGCTAGAAAAGCTTCCAAATTACTTGGGAGCCAAGTTACTTGGAAGCTAATTACCTGATCACTGAAGGAGTGTTGGAAGGAAAAAGGGATTCCCCACTTACTCCTTCACTGGAATCCGAGCCTCTCTGGGTTTGATCCTTGCTGATATATATTTCTTTCTTTTTCCTCTTCTTTCTCTGCTTTGCAGTTTTCCTCCATGAGGTCCCCAGCAGGCTCCGGTGCTTATTTCTCTGACCTACACCTGAGCTCTGATCTTTCTCCCCTCTTCATCCGAAACCCTTTATTCCCTCCACAACAGTCCAGTAAGTGATGTCTCTAATCAGACATCTTGCCTTGATGGTCACATTTTCTTACGTGTTTTTACTTTTGAGCAGAAATTCCACATTACTCCTTTTAACCTATATTTTACTTTCTGAGGTGTCTCGAGTCATATTTGATATTGGTAGCCTTCATTCAGAGGAGCCAGGATACCTTTTGGAAAGTATAGTTTAGATGATGAATCTTAAACAATTTAAACAATTATCATAACATCTCTATACAAAACTTAAATTTATCCTGCAACAGTTTAATTCAACAAATATTAGACCTGGAGGTGTGGACAATGAACAAGACGGAAATAGTTCATGATCTTTCCACTACACTAAAATTCAAAGTAATTCTTGAAAGCATAGGTCAGATTATAAGTTAAATGGTACCCATCTCTGGAGGAAGGACAAATCATGAATTTAGGTCTGAATCACCAAGGGAATGTTTTCATAAAGAACATTTATGGTGTCATTAAAATAGTAGTAATTTGTAAAAGTCTGAAACTCACTATGTGGCTGCTCATGCAAAGTTTTCTGGAGGAACATGATTAAAGTACCTGGTTGTTAAATGGTGAGGTGTGCCTCAATCTACCACTGTGTATTTCTAACCATTCAAAGGATTTTCTACAATGGGCTAAAAATATTTTCCTGGTTTTTACCAAATGCATTGTGTTAAGGAATTACCTCCTTAGATTAAGCTAGAAGCATTTCCGTGTGATTATAGCAGAGAGCAGTGGGCAGAGCACTCCGGGTCTTATAAAGGCTTCTTAGAGAACTTTTTAATTTTTTTTCTTTCTTCCTTTAGTGATTCTCTAAAGAACTTTTTAACAGTGTTTAAAAGAATAGCAGATGCCTACTCTTCATTTCTCTGCCTCTGCCTTGAAACTTTCCAACAGTTTTCCAAAAAGTTTCTCAAGGTCTGAGAGTCAGATTCTTAGGACATCATTTGGTGTTAATGGTAGGACATAGCTATCACAGAGAGCACCCTGAGCGTGTTCTCCTAGAGTGACATTGTCTATAATATGGCATCATCTGCATCCTTACCTGCCTGGACAGCCCCAGCTTAGGCCTGTGAGAGCTAAGGGGAGTTAGAAAGCACATATTCCCGACTAAGCAAAGCACCTTCCTCTTTCCAGGCTCCTTCCATGCACTGTACTTGCAGCCCACAGACTTGCTGATATTCCTGTCTGTTCAGGGCAGCAGTGGCACAGGGCACCATTTCTTCTTCTACTTTTGTGATTTTATAAACTAGTAAGTTTTGCACTGCTGGAGGCTATGCAGGAATGATCACTGATGTGTCTTAGAAGCTCCTGCCTCTGTCCTAAGAGTTATTCTAATAGTTATGTATGCAGAGGGTAGAGGTCTGGCCTGTGACTTTCTCAAGGTTTTCTAATCAATGGCAAAAAAAAAAAAAAAAGTTTTCTTCTTTGGGCTTTATAACATTTTCTTTTCTTCCTCCCTCCTATAGGAACGGAAGTTCGTGGGCGGCTCTGGACAAGTGAGTGAACGGATAATGGACCTCCTTGGGGACCGAGTAAAGCTGAAACGTCCTGTCACCTATGTTGACCAGTCAAGTGACCATGTCATTATAGAAACATTGAATCATGAACTTTATGAGGTAATTCAATTCAGTCAAAAGGACCATATAATAAATAGGCCTTATGTCTTTTGCAGTTTCCAAACAGATATTATCTAAGCCATAGTGTAATTAATGCTGACATATTTCTGCCTCACTCTTCAAAATCACCGTCACTAGCTTTCGTTGACCTACCTTGTTCTGTCTTATTGTTTTGCAGTTGCCTCCCTTTGTGTGTTCTTACTGCTTAATATTATTTTAAAATGATTAAGATGATTTTTTACACTCTCTGCAAAGACCGCAGCTCAGGTTTGAGGTAGTATCTTGCTTGTGTTGTTTTAGTGCAGATACGTAATTACTGCCATCCCTCCCATCTTGACTGCGAAGATTCACTTTAGACCAGAGCTTCCATCGGAAAGAAACCAGTTAATTCAGCGACTTCCCATGGGGGCTGTCATTAAATGCATGATGTATTACAAGGAGGCCTTCTGGAAGAAAAAGGGTAAGCTGCTCTTATTCATGTTTAAACAATATTATGTGAAAGAACCATACTCTTTTACAAATACCGACCAGGAGACACTGAACAGGAAAAGTGTTTTCAAGCTCAGTGCCTATAGCTCAGTGGCTAGGGCTCCAGCCACATACACTGGAGCTGGTGGGTTCAAATCCAGTCCAGGCCTGCAAACAACAATGACAACTACAATAAAAAAATAGCCGGACATTGTGGCAGGCACCTGCAGTCCCAGCTACTTGAGAGGCTGAGGCAAGAGAATCGATCACTTAAGCCTAAGAGTTTGAGGTTGCTGTGAGCTGTGACAGCACAGCACTCTACTGAGGGCAACAAAGTGAGACTGTCTCTGGGGGAAAAAAAAGGTGTTTTCAAATTGGTAGAGAAAAGATCAAAAATCTTGGTATGTTACACTTCTCATAGCCCTTGGCAATACAAAATGATACCAAGAGCACTTTTTGGCAATGGGAGGGGAGAAAGAGATCACATCAGTTACATAGCCACCATTGTGCTGGCTCCCAGCATTTGTTCTGCTGCTTCCTGTTAATGAACAGAATGAGGCCAGGGGGAACCAGAGAAAGAGTGTGGCATTGAAGTCATGCATTTGTGTACTTTGCTTGCTTATTAGCATCAGTCTGTAAGCTTAAAATAGTGACAGTAGGGCAGCACCTGTGGCTCAGTGGGTAGGGCACCGGCCCCATATACCAAGGGTGGCGAGTTCGAACCTGACCCCAGCCAAACTGCAACAAAAAAATAGCCAGGCGTTGTGGCAGGCAACTGTTGTCCCAGCTACTTGGGAGGCTGAAGCAAGAGAATCACCTAAGCCCAAGGGGTGAAGCTTGTTATGAGCAATGTGACGCTGCCACAGCACTCTACCGAGGGTGAGAAAGTGAGACTCTACCTCTTTAAAAAACAAAAAAATGGGGACAGTAAAACCAACTGTCAGAGAGTTGTGAGGATCAAGTGAGGCAAGTATGGGACTTAGAAAGCTACCCAAAGATGGTGACTATTATTGATAAGCCTCCTGATTATACTCACAAGGTTCCCTCCTGCAGTTTCTTCATGGATTGTTAGGGCTGATTGATTCCCTTTAGCACACTACCTCTTTCGCCATGTATCCAGAATCCAGGATCATCTTCCCATTTTTGCTCTTCCTTGGTCAGCTCTAAGGTCTTTAGTTAAAGGTGAAAGAAATAGGTCTTATCTTGTATAGTTACTATTTATATTTAACTGGAAATAGTTTGTAGGGTTGAGGGCAAAGACCGAGAATTTAAGATTTGCTTTCCTCTTAGCAAAATAGTTTATATATTTTTTATGTATGTGTGTGTATCTCTGCTAAAGTGATTGATGAAAATCAATTTCCTGTTGATTTTTTCCTGGTTAAGACTACTGCGGCTGCATGATCATTGAAGATGAAGAAGCCCCAATTTCAATCACCTTGGATGACACCAAGCCAGATGGATCGCTGCCCGCCATCATGGGGTAAGTTTGCGCTGGCCATTCTGCGTTTTCTGAGTTGTGTTGGTATATTGGTGTGGATGCTGGCAAAGTATATTGCTTTGGAATTGAACTATGATGAATACCCATACAAAACTATGTGATGTTTCCATATATTAAAAATTATAGTAATGTTTTGTGTGGCATAAGAACACTGGGAAACTTTATTAAAATTGACATCATCTTTGAACTTATGCTCATGTATATCTTTCTCTAATAAAGCTTACATGTTGAGAACGGACTGAAAAAAAACAAGGCAGCTAGACAGGTGGTGTGGTAGCGAGCCTTACCTAAAGGCAGGATGTTCACAACCATCCTGGAATAGGAACTAACTGCTTTATCCTGTAAAACTTTCCAAATTCAGGGTTTCTGGGCTTACCCCTTTTCTCCATTCCAGATATCTACTATGTAGCAAAAGTCAGTTGTTACCCTGAGATACCAGATGGGTAACCCATTAGGAGGTGTAGTTCAGAGTCGAGCTAGGCCTCTAGTGCAGTGATTTTCAACCCATGTGCCATGTGGCACACTGGTGTGCTGTACAAGGATCTTAGGTGTGCCACAAAAATTTTTAAAGGTCATTAATTAAATTATTTCATAAGAAATTCAAAGCACAGTAAGTATGTTCCTTTTAGTCTTATTTTTTTGGATCCACATAATTTAAGTGTGCTGCAGAAGTTTAACTACAGGTTCAAGTGTGCCTCGAGACGGAAGAGGTTGAAAAATACTGCTTTAGTGGATGGCAAGGCACATTTTTTTGGTCAGTCATTCCACAGTTATCCTTCATCAGCAGTGCTTCACTTATTCATGGAAGTGTGTGGATGGTCTGAGCTGTGGTTCTGTCTAGAAAACCCATCCTTGAGCACAACTGTCTTGACTTTTGGGGACTAGGGTTTCAGGGAAGGAAGTGAGGTCTCCACAAAGGAATTGCCAAGGAGTACCATAGCTCCCAGTTGCCTACCTTTTGGCTTCCATCAAAAGCTACATGAATAAAAAACTATTTATTCTATGGCACTGTAACAAAAGAACACAGCTTTAATAACAGTCAAATAACTTTTAGAGACCAGTGGTTTCCTCTTCGCCACTAGGAAATGTACACCTCCTGCTTGAAGAGAGAAGTAAAACATATGCACATCATGTCTTAGAAGGAAAATTACAAAGATAAAAAGAGCAGATCCATGTCCCAGGGGACTTAAAAAAGAAGGCTGTGGTTTCTTCTAGAAAGCAGGTCCTGAGTTACTAAACCATTTCTCTGGTTGTAAAATATAAGAAATAGCACCAGCTTCCCTGAGAAGGGTATATTCTTATCACATAATAACCATTGGAACAATACATCTTCTTTATCCCTAAACTCAGTGGGCAACAAAGGATACAGATTGTTATGGCATTTTGACATCACTTTCTTTCTCTATGCCAGACAAAAGCAAAAGGTTCGGGTACAGGCTTCAGGAGAATGTCAGTTAAGATCAATCCAACTATGAATGGAGGAACACTGATATTCTTCTTGCCCTGGGACTTAGATACAGTGATATCTGACCTTCTGGGCTTTGTTTGGCAGGGCCCTTCCGGATGTTAATGGGGTTAACATGCCTTACTTAGGCAGTTTCTAGCAAGAGATATTCTAATTTGTTTTATCTGGACAATGGCCTCCCTGCTGCTCTTTGCTTTTGGGTATGGCCACAAAAGCCTGGAGTGGTGATTGCCTAGTACTGTGTTTGTAATAACTAGCTTTTTTGAGAAACTAGAAAGGACCTTGTACTTTAGAACTATGAATATCCCAAACACAAAACAAACATGTTTAATTTCCTCAATCAAACACCAAAGAAAGTTAAAGGATATTTGTCCATAGTTAAGATTAGATGAAAGATGTTATTTCTGGCTCGGTGCCTGTGGCTCAAGTGGCTAAGGTGCCAGCCAC